TCATTTCATCGAAATTCATTTCAAGCTCCTCGAAGCTGGAGAACCGAAAAAAAACTCATCCATGCCACAAGCCCGACTCGATAGGCGATTCAATGTTTGTGATCAGACAATCTTTGGTCATAGAGCCTTGATGCAAAATCATAATTGTTCCAAAAAAAATGATTATACTCATTTTATGCTGAAATATTTGGAATAGCTTGAGGAGAATGTACTTGAAATTGACAAATAAACTCACAGGCTCGCTATTGTTAATTTGGATTGGAATCAAGTTCAGGTGAGGGAGATTCTTTATCCTTTTGCTTTCACTTTGTGCTAAATCAATAATTGTTGAATGTTTATGCAAAAGCACTAGGGTGTCACAGAGACAAGATGATGATGTACACCAATTGCAGTTAGAAAATCACCATTCCTGCCTTGAAAACCAACCACTTTCCCAGGAGACGATGCTCATGTACAATAATCATACCCTTCTCCACTTTCTTATCCATAAGGCCCATACATCTTCTTGTTTGTGTGAATAGTAATGGAGGTTATCCCTTCCAATCCATTGAGGTTTGTTAAATCTCGTAATCATCAGTTATTTTCATATATATATATATATATATATATATATATATATATATATATATATATATATATATATATATATTATTTAATAACCTTATCAGGTAATACTCTCATATGGATTGTTGCTTCCATGAAAATAGGATGGTTTCAATTTAAAGCAGTGGCAGATTTAGTTGGTAGCTAGGGGTAGCCTATGCTACCCCCAAGTTTGTCCGAGAAATAGAAAAACATTTGATATTTCCCATCAATTTAACTTCGATATATGTTGAATTACAAAAAAAACTATTCTGTAGCTTTTGCACTTCATTTTAAGGTGGGGTAGATTTCCATGTTGTTGTGCCACCTACAAATGTTTTGTTTTCTGATTCAAAACCTCCTTTACATAAATTTACTTAGCTTCGATAGCCAATAGCATCATTCTCTACAATATATCGTAATCAATTCAATTTGGGGATATGAATCCAAGCATCAATATTGTTCTGGTGCATCTCAATTATTGTACATGGAACTCAAGTTTGAAGTCTATTTGGAATTTAAAGCCAAGATTCCAAAATTGGAGAGGCATTTTGACATTCCCGTTAGTCGATCTTTGAATGCTATGAACAAGGAAATAAATGATTAATCATTCGTAATACTTTAATGGTTGTTGTAGACTACTTACAAATTACAAATTCCATGCTAAAAGTGATTGATTGAACATTGAATTCATCCATAATTCGTATCAGTTCTACTGGGGAATCATCACCTGATGTTGCCACTAATGCTGGTAGTATAGATTGGTTAGGTCATGGTCAAGGGCAGGGGTCAAAAGTAGGTTCCCTATCTCGAATTGGTTCACAGCCCATGTGGATTTCATTGAGTGCAAGTGTTTGTGGTTCAGTTCTTGGCTCATCTCATCCTTCATGTAGACCATGGGAAAGGGGTGATCTTTTAAGGAGATTGTCCACATTTCAGCCTACAAATTGGTTTGGAAAGCCTAAGTTTTGTGTAAAATTCCCTTTCTCTCCTTTATTAACATGTTCTAAAATCATTTCACTGATCAAATGACTCTCATACAGGCTACTAGTTTTCTTTCCTATGCAAGAAGAGGTTGGGTGAATGTGGATATTGATAAGATTGAATGTGAGTCTTGTGGTGCCACCTTGAAATACGTTGCACCAGATTCATGGACTCCTACAGAATGTGATATTTGCTATAATTTGGCTTACATGTATTATATTTTTGTTTCTAGGACTTGAGTATTGTTTTTGTTAATGTTATGAGTTATCAGATCTTGGAGTAGAATTTGGTAATCAACTTCATGAATAGCATAAAGTAATTTGCCCTTGGAGAGGAAATAGTTGTGCTGAAAGCTTAGTGCAATTCCCTCCTACACCACCATCAGCCCTCATAGGAGGCTAAAAAGATCGTTGTGATGGATTATTCCAGTTTCTTTACCTCCCAATTGTTGCTTCTTCCACACTTGATCAAATGAAGGTCTCTAGAGGCCCTGAAATTGACCGATTTTTAGTTCAATCATACATTTTCCCTCACTTGAATTGCGGAAGATTAATGGGTGCTAGTACTAGATTACAGAGAGGCTAATCCTTAGACGTTGCAGAGGAAGATGATTAGAAGAACAATCAAACCAGTATATGTTCCTAACCCACACTATCCTCAAAATTATGATTATTAGATTCCCCCCACTCGTTTTTTACATAGATTCCAAATGGGTTTCTATAATGTTGTTTCTTTTGTTCATACCAGATCATATCGTAACATACATGGTTTCTTTGATCACAGTTTACATCAACTGTTAGGTGTTAAGGTTTATTCCTTATATGTGTAGCTAGTTGCTCTCATTGACTGATGAACCCCAAAATATTGACTTAAGAAAGGTGCATAAACTTGTTTTGTTTCATTTTCCATGGACCCCCAAAAAGTTAACTTATGGTATCTTGTTTTAACATATTATTAGTGATGAGTTTATCTAAACTTAGAAAAATGATACATCAATTAGATTGAATGAACAGATACAATGTTTGTATCCAATGGATAAACTTATCTGCTTCCTTAATCATTCTTTCTAAAGTGACTTGCTAATGTGCTATATCAATTTCATAATCTTATTAATGCAGAAAGTATTGCACATTGGTTATAATATCTAAGTCTAAGGAAAGTTTTGCAGAGGTATGGTTGTTTATAATTATATGAATTAGATTGAAAGAATAAATACAATGTTTGTTGGTTGCAGTCAATTTACTTTTATACCCCTTTACAATTTATTGTTGCAATTAGTTTTCAAATAATCCCTGCTGATACCCAATATCATGTAAGTATCTTTTTCCCAGTTGAAGTAATACAATTATAGTATACAGCAACTTACGTACATCTATTTTCATTTTCTAACATCATAGTTCTATATTTATGTATTACAAAGAAAAGATGTATTTTTTTTTTCATTTTATGGCATTGTTACAGTTAAGAAATCACCCAGTTTTTCTTTCTTTTGGAATTGGCTAGAACTCACAGAATAGACAATTTATATCTTTTTTTTTAAAAAATTCATTCATACTTTCTTGAGTTTTTTCATTGTATGTACCATTTCTTCCTGGGGGTTGGCTTCATATGGGAATTTTGAGAAATATAGATCCCTTTTCTTTTCACTTTTTTTATTATTTTGTGTCCCATTAGGCTTGGGTTGGGTCTTTGAGTGGGTTCAACTCTTTTTGTGTGTGTGAGTGGTAAAAAGCCATAACCTACATGTACGGTCTGTGTGAGGTTTAAAGTTACAACATATTCTTGGGTTTGTTTATGTCAAAGTATGGTCGACTCAGTTACATGTTATTTTGTTATGGAAGGAATTTATATCTGGTTATAGAAGTTTATAATTGGAACAACTTATCAGATGGTTTTTTTATTACCCCAAATCCACTTTGTGAAATTTTCATATCGGTCTTGGCTGGTTTTTTTGCCCAGCTGTGATTGCCCATTACAAGTTGTAGTTTGAAACTGGTTGTGCAAATGAGTGTTTTCTTTGGTCGTTGCTAATGTTGCTAATGTTGCTATTTGATTCCATAATTATGGCATGAAGTAATTGGATTAAAGAACCTTTTGCCCCTGCTACTTAGGACCCCTCATGAATTCTTTGCTTTAAAGACTCTTTTTCCCTTGGCTTTTCATCAGGTGCAATTAGACTCATTACAGATAGTTTATATATAAGAGGAAAGAGAGTCAAACTAATTAAGTCTTAGTAATTACAAACAGGTCCTTGATCTTTCAATATGTACAATTATAACTTCTATTATTAAATGCCTCAAGTGATAAAGGGATCTTTTGGGGGTTCTTTCTGGATTGACCAAGGAGTTCAACGTCGACAAGTTTGTAGGTATATTCCCTCGCATAACTTTTTATAATTTGCTCATTTTACTGAAATTTATCATATTCTATAATGCCACAGGCTAGGGTTCGACGTGTTACTATTGTGAGTTTGGATGCGGACCCCTGTTTCAAGAGAATTGCATTCGTATAAATTATAATGTTGGTCAACATTTCTGTGCAAGTAACTATTTTATTCATATCTTGTTTCTCTCTCTCTCTCTCTCTCTCTCTCTCTCTCTCTCTCTCTCTTATGTCCAAATCACATTTCCTTTCTATAGTATCTCAAGTAGCAGCATAATTTCAAGGAAAAAGCACATATGATGTGCTGCAAAAGAGATTCACAAACTTGATTTTGTAAACGTGGTGTTTAAAACTACATTGAGTGTGAGATAGAAGTTTATGCAGAGAAGGAAAAAGATAGAAGTTTTTGAGGATACTGCTGATGAAGAAGATCAAAAGAGCTAGAGGAAGATGATGAATGAAATTGATGAGGTGGGATCTGCAGTTTCCGTGCTCAGAACACGAAGAACAAAAAACCAACCTCTTCCTAAAGACCTAGTTTTAGGAACCCTAGTGAGATTTAAGCAGCAAAATAAATGGAATATTGTTGCTGAGATATTATTATGCATGATCACTGTTAATTGTATAACTTTATCATATGATTAAGTTATTTGACATGTAATGTTAGGTAACTTGTTTGACATGTGATATTTTTTTTAATGAACTATCGTTCTTATGTATGTTATTTTATTTTGTATTATGATAATTTCAATCTGTGGTTTAATTTGAAAATTAGTAATTCTATCAAAAATATATACATTTTTAAAACATTTACAATTATGACACACAAGTGCATGTCATCTTCATTTATGACAGAGGCTTTAGTGATACGCAATGCATGTCTTAAAAGCGCGTCATTAGGTTACAACACGCAAATGTGTGTCGTCTTCCTTTATGACAGGTGTGACAACCCGAAATTTTCCATCCAGGTCAGTCAAACACTTCATTAAAAGTCAAACTCATTTCTGCTATCTTTTAGCACAATTGGGAGTATATTTGAGCGTTAAGAGCCTTGTACACTTAAGGAATAAGTATCGGGGTTTATCGGCTGAAACTATAGCTCAAGGAAATGACCTTAAACACCCCTGCAAGGAGTTCATGGCCAACACATGGGAGTTTACGGCCGTAAACTCCATGTGGGCCGTAAACTCTTGCTTATCTGGTGAAGAGGTGGTCATTTGTTCATTCCTTCCTTCCATTTGGCCCAAATCCTCTCAAGTATCATCCCGATCTTCGTCCCCGATCTTCAAAACTTGTAAGCTTGTTGTCTTAACTAGTTGATATCTTGCATGAACTAATGGTTTCATCCGTGAAATAATTCCATTTTGTAGATCTTCAAGTTTCACCAAGAACACACACTAGTGTTCTTGGCCAAAACCGACCATTCGAGCTCCTAGATTGTAAGTACTCTTGATCCAACTCATGGTACACTAGGTTTATCATATTTAGAGCTTAGAAAACATAAGAAATCATAGGATTCAAGGAGTTTACGGCCAAGACATGTTCTTGGGCCGTAAACCCCTTTTAAGGGTGAAAGTGACACCCTAACACCTTAGTAAGCTTTGGTTAGTGACATAGAACCTTACACCATTGACCTAAGGACCACAATTCATGAAATGATACTTCTTACCATGATTTTACGGCCGTAAACTCATGGGGAAGTGGTCCTAGGACCGTAAACACAATATAAGGTCCTTTTAGGACCTTAAACCCACCCAAACACTTGTTTAAAACTTTGGAACACTTAACCACTTAAGCCCTTAGAGTTTTAAGCTCCTTTTGGTGACCAATTGAGAGTTTACGGCCATGAGTAAACTCCCCTGGGCCGTAAACTCCAACAAACATGGTCATTGGACCATAAACTTCCGTATGAGGCCTTGCACTCCTTTGTTGCAACCGGATAGCCTCCTAGCACTTGACCAAAGTGTTTTCCTCGCAATAGGATGTTTATACATGTTTAATTAGTGTTATAATCACTAATTGTTTATATACATATGTCTTCATATGTAATTAGGATCATTGTGTGTGTCTAAGTCTTCACTTGACACCAAGCACTTGTCCGACACTTCCTTCCGATCCGCTCACTGCAGGTGAGTTCATACCCCTTAATTAACCTCTTAAATGTTTATAAATGCTTTATGGGGGGATACAAATTAAATCATGTTTAGTTATTATATCAATCACATGTGATTAATAACTAGCATGCAAATGGATTTACTATACGTTAACTATTTTACCAAACAGATTTCTTCAAATGACTTTCTTAAACGTTTTTACATGTTTAAAACTATTTATCAAACTATCTTACATACTGTAAGTTTTCTTTTAAACTCAGATACAAATGTGTTTTCAAACAAAGGTTTTCCTTATACTTAAACTGTCTTATCAAACAAAATACTTTCAAATTGTTTTACAAACTGACATCAAGTCATCGTTTCTTAGTATTAAACTTTTCAAAGGTTTTACAAAACATCTTTTATGCTTTTATATTATCAAATGCATGCCCATATATGTATAGTTATATAAGTAATGTTTAAAGAACTTAGGAAGGCTAGTTCACTTTATTTCCTTTTCCTTGTTGGGATGTGGCTTTAGGGTATCGGTTATTCGTCCGAATGTTGTCTAAATACTAGTCATATACCATGTATACATATATAGACATAAAAGTTTCCTTGGCCAGTTCAGTACCTTTGGGTAGCAAAGGCATACTTCAGGTTATACACGTACATTACTAGTAACTATAATAGGTGTAGTTAGGAGATACTATTTACCATTCCAAGTACAAGGAATCACACAAGAGTTAGTTCATTCATGAGTCTATACTATACATTACATGTTACATGAATACGTCTACTTAGATACGCTTACATGAATACGTTTACATAGATACATTTACTTGGATACACTTACATGGATACTTGTACCTAGATACTATATGATGAGATACTAGTAGATATTATACGTGTAAATTAGTTTCGTCTATCCTAGTACAAAAGGATACTAGACGGGACTAACCATTCTGGCACCCAACTGTTAGCAACAGAGGTAATGAACATCTACGGATGCCTACGGTTAAAACTTATATTAGGGGTACCTTTATGGGACTAACCATTCCTACACCCTACTGTTAGCTACAGAGGAGAATGAACATCTACGGACGTTCAAGGTTAATACATGGCTATATTTTTCCTATTACTTTTATTTTGTGATACATTCACATAAACGACGAGGTAGACTACATATATTGTTAATAGTAGTCATACAAGGGAAAAACCAATTTTGTTACTTTCAAAACGGTCTAGTCGTGGTAGAAGACTACTCTTTATACTAATAGAAATCATAGGGATTTGCTAGGGTATTCAAACGATTTCAACTACTTTCAAAACAATTCATACATATACAACCTTTTTCCAAATGTTTACAAGTCTTTACTCTACAGTTTTACAAATCAAAGACACATTAATACTTATGAATTCACCAGCTTTATTACTGATACTCGCTTTCAAAATACTTGTATTCTCAGGTCACAAATAGACAGGTACGACGACCAGGTTTTGTGAAGACGGAGAAATCAAGACTCCTATATTATTTTGATTGTTCATTATCTTGTCTTACACTATTAAAGAACACACTTGTAACTAAAACTATACTATTAATGCAATGGATGTTGTTGTTGCTTGTTTACTACTTTGCATTGTTATGATACATTACATGACGTCCTCCGCCCCAAAACGTTTCCACCGTTCTCAGTTTTGGGGTGTGCAACAGGATCTTCCTTGATATGCATTGCGTGTCATAACTGCACGTCGTAAATGCATGTCGTAAATGTGCGTCGTAAATAGACGACGCGCAAAAGCGTGTCCTCTCTCTTTATAACAGGGCCTTCCTTGACACACATTTGTGCATCGTCTGAGCGTTTTACTTTACGACACGCATTATGCGTCATAAAAGGCTGTTTTTCTAGTAGTGGCAGCATATAGTTCATGTGAATTTGTGTCGCACGCACTCCCAACTTACTATAAATAGCAAGTTTTGACAACTCATTTCTCCTTACCCCACCCTTCGATTCTCTCTCTAAATCGCCGCACGTGCCATCGCACTGATCGACTCTAGGAGTTCTTACTTGTGGTTTCTACCCTTCACCAACATTTTCATACTCACCGATGAGTTTCACAGCCCCATTTTCCAACTCTTTTCAGTGGGAGGGGGAATACATGTCTAAAATGCAACTTTACATAGTTATTACTAAGTATAGTTATATAATTATACTCATAGCATTAGGATGATATTTGACTCAGTAGGTAATCTACCGAAACTCTTTAAGCTAATATTATGCCTAGTTGTTATGTTAAACCACTATGATAAATTAGACCATACCTAGTTGTTACGTTGGCCAGTTGCTAGGAAACGATGAAACTCATTATTATATCCATCTTTGGATAAGCTTAGTATCTAGGGATACTCTAAACACAGTATATATATATATATATATATATATATATATATATATATATATATATATATATATATATATATATATATGTATGTATATTTAAAATAAGTAAAACCATATAAACACAATGCAAATAACAACACGACCGACCAGGGGAGCCCCCCACGACAAGAGTTAGATGATACAAAATTCATCATGTTGTTCGATTTTCAGCTATATACCAACCTATAATCATTAATTCTTAAGTGAGCGGGAGAGATATGTACAGATCTATACGGGATTGACACTCCCACATTTGGTTGTTAGCTACAACTCGATGACAATTCGAAGCAGGCATAAGTTTCTGAACACAACAACGTCTAATGAAGCGTCGTGGATTTTCGGGATCAATAGTCATTACTCGAATATGGGAAATAGTCCTAACTTTGTCAAAATAAACAAGTTATCATAAACTACTACTAGGAAAAAATCCAACTAAGTAGTGATAGAACACACAAACTCGAGGAAGCCAATTTACATCAACTGACACCTAACTATCTTAGACTGGCACTAGGAAACTATATATGGAAGTAGTGATAGTACTCACAAACTCATGGAAGTGAGTTTAGGATAGACAAAAAAATGAAATACCCACACACTTTTTATAACAATAAAACCTGTGAAATCACCAATATTATGTTGACCTCTCAAACCACATGTATTCTCAGGAAAGTGAACCTGTCTGAAGGAGGAGATAACCCTGGTGATGCAACCCGAAACTTATGTACTTTGCTTTTGTAACCTACTTGTACCTAGAACAATTATATAATATCTTTTAATTGATAAATAAATAGCTATGTTGTTTAGTACATTCTTTGTATTATTCAATGCATATGTTGGCCTGAAATCCCAACATCCTAACGTTGCATAAACTAGCGGTTCCATCGCCGGCTAGTGGTGTGACAGATTGGTATCAAAGCTACATATTATAGCGAACTAGTAATTCCTTAGGAAATACAACTATAATCTAGAACTGCACTCTGATTAGTTTTAGCCCTCTTAGCCTAATAATAACTATTAATATTAATTACCTTGCTTCTTGATTACTTACTAGAGAGGTGCTGAGTTTGAACTATCGCTTGTGTTGTTTGATTTTAGAACGACTATACACCAAAATGATTCTACCTTTCGGTACTTCTCATATGGATGATCCTTGCTTTATAGTCTTGGAGCACAAAACCCTAAAATACATCCAACCCAAAAAAACACTAAGATCGATATAGATACGCTCATATAAGTATACCTACTACCCAAAAATATGAACCCATGCACAAAGTTGCAACTAAGGATTTTAGGTCCAAAACCATATTTAAAGTTGGTATACTACAACGGTCATACCAGACTAGACTTAGAATGTGTAACTAAGTTTTCTTATGGTTCAAACGACGCACGACCGAACTCGGATATGTTGGTTGGCAATCGAAATGCTTGAGGACTTCTGGATTGGATGCTTAGGCAAGGATTCTATACTCAGAGACTTCTCATAGAGACTTGTTCATCTGGGGATGGCTAACTCAACGACATCTACACTTATGGAATTTCCGCCCTAGGAACCTCTAACTTACGAAAAAATGGGGGAATCAGGAGCTACGGGTACTATCTATTACATACTTATAATTTGATACCACACAGTATTAAATTGATTTTCACATCTCTCATAAACATCTTCCTGTTTGTTGTCTCATATAGGTTTGTCGAGAGCATGGAAGATGATGGATCAAGAAGGCCAGGTTACTCATCAGAGGAGGAGCATACAATACTTGATGACTCAGTCGATACCCTGAAGGAAGGTGATGACTCGTAGCCCGATTATACTCTCGTTGAACACCCATCAGATCCGACCCTATCATCAGACAACACACCGGTTGGGCTAGAGCTTATCAGTAATGAGTACGAACCCAATGAGGATGAGGAGGACACTACTACCTCACCAGATACCTTACCACTGTTCCCCACTCCTTCACATCGATTTTACAAGACACGCACAGGTACCCAAGTGAAGTAGACCCCAACGAAGGTTGTTGCTATCCCACTCACGGATGATAGAGGTGTCCCCACTAGCATCACTATCAACAACGAAGAAATCTCATGGACACGCCGTTTAGATGCCCTTTATATGATCCTGGTTGCAGGTGTAGGCTATCGGCTCATGGTTCGAGGTGGAAGAGTCATCCACTTCATCTCCCCCTACCCAGATACTACTGTGGAGCAGGCAATCTCGCTTCTGGTGCTCGGCACCGCCCATCACTCAGACCTTATTCGATCAATGGACATTGACCTCTTCTTCTTGAGGATGACCTTGATGTAGCTCAGGGAGAGGGTGCAGTACTTGGAAGGAGGAGAGATACTTGATAGATATGAGGAACTTACTCATGTTGGATTAGTTAAAGGAGGCATGGGAGGAGGCCCAGTTCCATCACCGGGTGCTAGAGGAGGTGATTAGCCACACGGGTCAATTATATCTTCAGGTGGAAAGGGTGGAGTCTCGAGTCTCTCTTTTTGATGTTTGGCTAGAGTTTGTGTATAGACTGTTATTCTAGCTGATGGCACTTCTTATAGTGTACTTTGTTTTTTTAGTTTTCCTCTATTATGGCACTAGCATGGTAGCTAGGAGGGATACGGACACTTTTCTTTTGGATGAGGGTAGTAGGAAAAGCCTCCACCACATGTATGTTTTGTAATCACACAGCTTTTCTTACCCTAACCACACTCTATTTTGGTGACTGCAACATGATATATAATAGATATTATACATACCTAGTTGAATGAAATATGTGTTGTTATTATTGTTCCCATTAACATTAACACTAACATACCACAACCTAACCATGAGGGTACGAACTTGCTAATTCCAAAAAATTAACTCATGTCTCGACACTAACTTTAGGAATCTAGAAATGGCACCCCCAAGAATTACCAGAATGAGTCAAGGTCTTCATGCTGATTAGAATGCTCAATCGGCACAAAGTAACCCACCAGTAGACCTTCCGACTACTGAGACAATGATCAAATAGATAATAGTCGAGGCACTAGCCGCATATGGAAATCACACAAACTCTAGAACAGGAGAAGAAGGTTCCCAAGGAAATGAGAAAAGTGCACCAAGAGAATGCACCTACAAGGATATCATGAACTGCAAATCCAAGATGTTTTATGGGAATGAGGGAGTTGTAGGACTTACCAGGTAGATGAAGAAGACTGATCTTATCTTTAAGGTCAGCTCTTGTACTAAGGAAAGCAAGGTCAAGTTTGTCGCTTGCATGTTTATAGATGCAACTATGTCTTGGTGGAATGGCCACGTCAAGACTCTAGGCTTCGCTAATGCTAATGCTCAGTCTTGGGAGCAATTGAAACAAATGATCATCAAGGAGTGTTGTGCTCGGTAGGAGATGCAACAAATAGAGCACGAACTATGGAATTTGAAAATGAGCGATGTTGACATCTCGACCTTTGCTAACAGGTTCAAATACCTCTCTACTCTTTACCCAAACTTTATGACCCCTGAGTACAAGAATGTAGAAAGGTACATTTAGGGATGGATTCAACCCATCCAAGGGTTGGTCACGACCTCTCAATCATTAACATATGATAGTGCCAAAAGGTTGGCTTACAGCCTGACCAAACAAGAAATAAGATGAGTCGCATTGGTCCAGAAGACCGGCATACCAAGGTAGAGGAAAAACAATTGCAAATCTGGAAATGAATTCAAGAGTGCCACCAAAACAATTCCTAGAAAGAGACAAGAAACTACTAAGGCTTATGTCATCAGTCCGTCCTTGAAAGCGATCACAACCCTCGCATCGCAAGGACAGTATGCTGGAAAGCACCCACACTACAATTTATGTCACTTCACCACTCTAGCAACTACATTCACTATACCAGGTGCAATCACAAAGTGCATACCAAGAAATACTACCACCAAACCATGATAGGTCCCACTGCCACAGCCAATCCAAGCATGGCTGCTTTGCCAAATAATCAATCCTACTTTGAATGTGGGATTGTTCGGCATATCAACAGGAACTACCCAAGGCTGGGGAATAAGGGAGGAAATTCAATAGGAAGATCAATTAAGATTGGCACAAAGGATGCCATCCAAGACCTCGCCGTTGTGACACGTATATTTCCGGTTAACGGTTTATACGCATCTATACTCTTTGATTTTAGTACTGAAAGAAGTTTCACTACATTTATGTTTAGAAAACTTTTAAGTCATAAGTATAGGAACTTAAATTAGTCGTATATAGTAGAAATGGCCAATGGAGAATCCAGTAGTACTCAGGAAATAATAGAAAATTGTCTTCTAAATGTCAATAAACACTTATTTCATGTCAAACTCATGCATATGACCATCGGTAGCTTCGATGTCATAACCAGCATGGATTGTTTATCGCCGCACCAAGATGAGATATTATGTTACGACAAGATAGTACGACTACCGTTAACCAACAGGGAATCCTTAATAATCTATAGAGAAAAGACAAGCACAGGCCTTCAAATCATATTTTACATGAAGGCGTAAAAGTACCTTCACAAGAAATATCACGCTTGCTTGCCATGTATCGTAGATTAGAGAGGAGAGAAGAAGGAAATCAAGGACATACCTAAGTATGTGATTTTCTCGATCTATTTCCAGAAGGCGTGCCCAGACTAATACCAATTTACGAATTCAAATTTCATATTGACATAGTCCCAGGGGCAGCTCCATTGGAAAAATCACCCTACCGATTAGCCCCTTCGGAAATGCAAGAGTTGTCCGGTCAACTGTAGGAGCTTTTAGATAAATGCTTTATAAGACCAGGTTTCTCACCTTGCGGACCCCCGATGGTATTCGTCAAAAAGAAGAACAAAACTTTTCGAATGTGCATCGACTATCGATAACTAAATAAGTTGACGATCAAGAATAGATATCCATCCCAAGGATTCACGTTCTATTTGATCAACTACAAGAATCTAGCTTCTACTTGAAGATCGATTTGAGGTTCGAGTACCATCAACTTTGAGTCCAGGAAGAGGACATTTCGAAGATGACATTCAAAACTCTTTATGGCCACTATGAGTTCCTAGTTATACTTTTTGACTTAACTAATGCTCTATAAATCTTCATGGATCTAATGAACCATATCTGTAAATCCTACCTTGAAAAATTTGTGATTGTATTCATCGATGATATATTGATATACTCACAAACAGAGGAAGAACACAATTAATACCTTCGAATCATTTTGGAGTTGTTAAGGAAGGAGAAATTGTACGTAAAATTCTCAAAGTGTGAATTTTGTATCAGAGAAGTACATTTCCTAGGACACGTGGTCAGTGATAAAGGAATGTGTGTAGATCCTTCCAAGATTAAAGCTATAAAAAATTAGGAAGCACCCACAACTCCAACTGAAGACTTTGTTGTCTATTGTGATGCATCACATCAGGGCATGGGATGTGTACTTATGCAAAGAGACAAAGTGATAGCTTACACCTCGCACTAACTCAAGACTAATGAGAATAATTACACCATCCATGAAATGGAATTGGGAGCTGCAATTTTCGCCTTAAAGATCTCGCAACACTACTTATATGGAACAAAGTGTGTCATATACACGGACCACAAGAGTCTGCAGAACATCTTCAACTAAAAGGAACTCGACATGAGGCAGTGATGATGCCTTGAGCTGCTGAACGACTACAAGTGTGAGATTCGATACCGCCCATGGAAAGCTAATGTAGTATCCGATGCCCTAATTATAAATTAATGAGTCAAACCTCGCAGAATGAAAGCACTCGCTCTAACTATCCAATCAAACCTTCCTGTCTAGAATCGGGAAGCGTAGGTAGAGGTACTTAAGGAAGAGAAGAAAGCCAAAGAATGCCTACGAGGCATGGAGAAATAATTCGAGTCCAAAGAAAATGGAAACTTATGTTTCAGGGACATAATTTGGGTACCAAAATATGGAAACATCAAGAGGCTGGTACTAGATGAAGCTCACAAGACAAGATACTCAGTTCACCAGGGGCTGATAAGATATATCTTAACTTATAGAAAGGTACTAGTGGTCAAACTTAAAGGAAGAAGTCTCCATCTACACAAGAAAGTGATTAACATGCACTATGTTCAAGGAAGAATACAAAGGTGACTACTCCTTAAATAGCCAAGAAGTAAGTAAAAGACAAACTAAAAAAGTAAGCGTAGACTATCAAACATCTGAAGATTAACAGACTAGCACAGTTGCTTCTGTTGATCTTCTCTCATGTACTATACTATCAAAAACTAAGATCAAAATAAAATAGTACTTGGTTAATAAATTCTCATTACAAACATAGAAACATTAAATCATTAAAATTCATTTCGAACTTGTCTTCTGCTTCAGATTAGTCTGTACTTCGGAACTCATCATCTTGGAATTTCCACCACTTTGGATTGAAAAAGGATCAATTTTCATGTTCTATCAATCTCCCACTAAATGAAGTTTATAATCATCCAACTTATCACTTCGCTTCGTCAAACACAAACAAGTAGGCACTCTGGAACCAGCTTCTGACTTCGATGTACCATTGGAATGCTCAATGAATTTCTTCTTGATGTGCTTGGAGGAATCACTCTTGGCAGCATTTGAAATGAACTTCTGAAGAATCTTGGTGGGAAATAGGTGTTTATCCATAAATCTGAAAAAAAAAACTGTATGATTTGAATTCTTCTTTAGATAGACATAGCTAAGTCTAGGTTCTTCGATTACACCTTCAGCTAAGATTTGAGCTTCAGGTAGTTCGGTAGTGATGTTATCCAAAAGTTTTCAGTTCTAAAGAGATGATTGAACTCCACATTGGATCGACAGAATTGAGCGATATAGTCCTTCATAAACCAGATAGCAGAGTTGTAAGCTCTGATGCTCGATTCGTTTTTTTTTACGATCTCGGAGGTGAGTAGCTATGACAAGAATGTCATTTGCATTTATTAAAGGCAAGTCTGCATCAGTGGTGGTGATTGTGGATTCTTCGTTACGAGAAATATAGTATATATACAGAAGACAATCAAGATCAAATTTGCTTTGAACATTTCTACCATGACCAACTATCTTGGTAATTCGCTTCCAGGACCACAATTCCTTTTGGGGAAGTGTGTTGGTAGAGTAAAAGGTTCTCAATCTCTCATGCTCAGTATGGATGATAATTTGAGGGTCATCATGTGGATGTAGGGGTTCGAACTTGATATAATAGCATCCATGTGGAGAGATTGGTAGGTCCAGTTGATCAGCATCTTGAGTTGGAATATTGAATAACATAAAGGGCACAAAATTTATATCATAAAGAATCCCT